GATATATATACATCTATATATATATAATGAATGAAACGCTGGATAAGACCAACTAAATATTAAAGATTTAGATTTTGAAAGAAAAACGATCTTTAGAAGAATTAAGTCAAATACTTACTTTATTGAAAAATATATTTAGTTTTAAGATCGAGTGAGTTTTGTGGATGAGTTTTGATATTTGAATGCAATAACGTTGGGAAAATAGGAAAAGTTTTGAGTAGTAGCTAGTTGAAAACGAAAGTTGAATGGATTGGAAAAGGTTTTTAGCGAATCTGTTGAAAAGTTAATATGTAGTTTATATATAGTATATTTAGCTTATCGTATATGCATCTACATCTACATATATATACATAAATGTTTAACGTTTAAGAAATTAAGTTTCAGTTTTTGTATATGCAACAGGCGATTTTCCAACGTCTGCATTTAAAAATCAGCAAATGCGAGCCACAAATTAGAAATTAAATCGGAGCTGACTATACAGGTCAGATATTAATTTAATTTTAACACACAGCCGAGGAAAATTGGTAAAAGGAAATAGCATAATTATTTACTGTTATGAGAAAACGTTAGAGTTTTAAGGATTTTAGCTAAATTTTGTATATTTTAATCTACAGATTGCTATAAATATATATACACATACTTATATTATCTGTTTTATAAATAACATTAATAAATGAGACTAAAAACAACCGCATTGTATTTAAATCTTATGAAGAAACATTTTGGAAAGTTATGAAAATATAACTAAATTCGGAGTACTGTGCTGCTTGACAACAAGATCGCTGCTATGGCTCTTCAATTCAACCATGGATCAGTGAAAACAACCTCTGTTAATTGCAAAAGTTCCTGGTTTTGACTAGACGCTCTCTGCTTTATACTATTTTTATAATTCACCAAAACGAATAATTAATTTAATATGCTAAACGAATAAATATGACTATAATACGCCCCCCAAATTAATCAATAATTCTATATTTTTTACTGCGTAATATATGCATATCAGCCTTGCACTTAACATTGCATATCGATAGTGAAAATATCGTACAGCCAAATTCGCGCATCGTGGTATGTTGGCATACCGATGTATCATTGGTATCGATAGCGAATGCGACTGCGACGGCCATACTGTAAATACATATACACATACATACATTTTTTTCTTTTTGTGTCATTGTGCGTTCCAAAAGCAAAATCACATTTTTGCGATGCATTTGCATTGCAAATTATAGAACAAAAATGAGGTGTTTTTGTGTGGCGAAAAGGCAATAACAACAATGATAACAATGAATTGATGTATATAAGTTGCATAACGTACGTTCGTCGTCGGGCTCCGTCTATGTATATGTCCCTCGTTGAGCAGTCGCAATTTCCAGAAAACACATATACACTCGTGCACACACATATACACACTCACATACACACACACACATGCTCGTAAAACGCCATCAAAACAGCAGAAAAAACAGAAAAGCAGTTTTCGAATGGCGTAAAAAGTGTGAAAAAGCAAAACAAATCGAAATCAAGTGTGCGTTTTGCTTTAACTTTCATAGCAAATGTGTTGTGACAGCCACAAAAGACGCGCAGCATTAGCAGCAGCAGCAGCAGTAGCAGCCGTAGCAGCAGCGCAGCGAGCGTCAGTCACCTTTCCCTCCTACAGTAGTAGTATATTACCAATACAAGCGCATCTGGCACAGCCGACAAAGAAAAAAGAGACTCTGCTTGTGCCTCTGCTGGGTTTTCTTCTTCTTATTAATCGTACAGTTCCTACGTCGACGACAACAACATTTGACTCAGCTGCCAAGCCGAAACAACTACAGAAGAAATCAAATCGAATTGCTATAAAACTGTGCGTTCTCTTGCATGTGAAATTAACAAAACAAGAAGAAGACGTTGTTAACGCGTGTGTGGGTATTCGTACGCGAGAGCCATGAGTCTACTGGCAACGCCCGCGGGCGCACCAAGCAACGCTGCTGCGTCAGCCTCGACCTCAGCCGCATCCGCTCTCTCAACCTCAACGGGCAATAACAATCTGCCCTTTGAAAAGGACAAGATCTGGTACTTCACCAATGAGCAGCTGAGCAATTCGCCCAGTCGTCGATGCGGCATCAAGAGCGACGATGAGTTGCACTACAGACAGATGACCGCCTATCTGATACAGGAGATGGGTCAGCGTCTGCAGGTGTCGCAGCTATGCATCAATACTGCAATCGTTTATATGCATCGCTTCTATGCGTTCCATTCATTCACACATTTCCATCGCAATTCCATGGCATCGGCCAGCCTGTTTCTGGCCGCCAAGGTGGAGGAGCAGCCGCGCAAGCTGGAGCATGTGATAAGGGCGGCCAACAAGTGCCTACCACAGACAACCGAACAGACCTATGCAGATCTCGCTCAGGAGCTCGTCTTCAATGAGAACGTACTGCTGCAGACGCTCGGCTTCAATGTGGCCATCGATCACCCGCATACCCATGTGGTGCGCACCTGCCAGCTGGTCAAAGGTAGGCACAATGCTCTAAACCCAATACCAATTCCAATACCAATGTCAAATGCCATTGGATGCCCGATGATTAGAGCAATTGTGATTTTGTTAACACTGTAATATATTTTAGCATGCAAGGATCTGGCGCAAACCTCCTACTTCTTGGCCTCAAACAGGTATGGCTAACACCAGCTAATAGTATCCATATCAACTGGGATACTAGCTGGCATATAATAGATCTGCGATGCTGTGTGTGTGTGTGTGGGTCTATATGTATATGTATGTGCACGTTGTGCGCAGGCAACTAGGACACAATAGAGTCAACAAATCATGTAGCTGCTCACTCTGTGGGCATCCCTCTTTGCCCGCTGCTTACCTGAGTGTGCGTTAAGGTCATTAAATGCTCTACCTTAAGTCCCTTTATACTGCAAAGGATTTGGGCCATTTATAGCAGATTTGCTAACAGGCTTCTAATTTTGTAAAGTCCTTTGCCTAACAGGAAAACCACAATGTCATTATAGAAATACCTGTGTCTGAAGTTCTTGCATGGAATGAAAATATAATTAGTCTCTCAGGCATAAGTAATGTTATGTTGCCCTGATTTCGAAGCCATCATATGCATTGTCTGTTCATATTATATTATTTATTGGCTTTTTATTGTCCCAAAAACGTTTTAATGTATTCTAAACCTGTAAAGGTTTCTTTGTGCTTTGGGCACTAGCAGATTTATAAAATAATATGTTTATCATTACGTTAATCCTTTAGTACCATAATTTTGCTCTAAGAATCCGCAGACAGTATCAAAAAGCAATCAAAGCAACATTTATGCGCTTATATATACATATACACGCGCACACAAATATATATGTATACGTTAGATATTAAGACTCAATATATAACATTACTTGGATATATATCATACATATATAGTATATACTCCGCATTTAACAATTACTAAAGTCTTAATTCTTGTGGTGGCTTCGGCTGCTGCTCCTTTTGGTGATTAGCCTACATCTGACCTCGATGTGCCTGCAATATCGACCCACTGTGGTCGCCTGCTTCTGCATTTATTTGGCCTGCAAATGGTCGCGCTGGGAGATACCGCAGTCGACCGAGGGCAAGCACTGGTTCTACTATGTGGACAAGAGCGTATCGCTGGAGCTGCTCAAGCAGCTGACCGACGAGTTCATAGCCATTTACGAGAAGAGTCCCGCACGACTCAAATCGAAGCTCAACTCAATAAAGGCCATTGCACAGGGCGCCAGCAATCGTACGGCCACTGGCAGCAGCAAGGACAACAAGCCGAAGGAAGACTGGAAGCTGAGCGAGATGATGAAGGGCTATCACTCGAATATCACAGCACCGCCAGAGCTGATGAATGGCAACGATAGTCGTGATTCATCGCAATCGGCGCTGCTGCCACCACCGGCCATGGTGCCATCGCAGCAGCGACGCAGCGATGGCAGTCATCAGCGGTCGTCGTCGGTGGGCGGTGCCCCAGGTAATTCGTCCTCTACTACCTCCTCGTCTTCATCGAATCACAAGTTGCCAAATTATCCAGGCGCACTGCCGCCCGAGGCACATGGAGGTGAGTATCGCAGAGATTCAGCCTGCAGCAGCAACGTCATATTATGTGCTCTCTAATCTCATGCTCTTATCTGTTATGTAGATCACAAATCGAAGCAACCCGGCTACAGCAGTCGTGCGCCCTCTGGTCATCAGTCGAGCTCGTCGTCGTCGGCGCAGCGCAGCAGCAGCAGCAGCAACACCTCCACAAACAGCAGCCAACGCAGCTCCTCGAGTCAGCCATCTGGTCGACCACCCATGCCCATGGACTATCACAAATCATCGCGTGGCATGCCACCCGTTGGCATGCAGACGCATGGTGGTCACAAGATGTCCACAAGTTCCAAACCCCAGCAGCCACCGCCTCCGCTCCTAGACAGTCGTGGCAACACCAGCAGCAGCAACAGTTCATCATCCGCCTCCAATGCGTCAGCAGCAGCCAAAGATGCCAGCAAGTCGTCGTCGTCGTCGGGCGGCAGCAGCAGCAACAGCAGCAAAATGTATCCTAATGCGCCGCCGTCCTACAGCAGCAGTGGACCCAACAGTAATCCGCTGATGTCTCGTGGCGGCTACCCAGCGCCGCCTGCTGGCTATGGCTCGCACGGCTCGCATCGCAATAAATCCGTCTCGTCATCAAGCTCATCGTCATCCGTCCACAGCATGCCGCCTTACGAGCAGCAGCTGCCCTATGGCCAGAGCCAGGCAGTGCCCAGCTACAATCATATGCCGCAGCAGCAGCAGCAGCAGCAGTCGCAGTCGCAGCCTCCGCTGGAGTCGCAACAGCTCGGCAAGAACAATTCTCTCTTCAGTCCGGAGTGGAGCGAGATCAAGAAGGAGCCCCAATTCAATGGGCTGTTGCCACCGCCTCCGCCAGGACCTGGCCACGACAGCCTGGGCTATAAACTGAACAATCATACGCGGGATCGGGATAGCCCCAAGAAGGATCGTTTGACACCTACCAAAAAGGACAAGCATCGCAACACGTTGCCACACGGCAGTGGATCATCGGGAAGTAGCAGCACCACCACCAGCACTAGTAGCAGCAGCAGCTCGACTAAGCCCATGCTGCCGCCGCACAAGAAGAGCCACGGCGAGCTGCTGGCTAACGATTCGAGTCGTGACATGGGCAGCTTGAAGCGTGCCAATGAAATCTCTGGCAGTCAATACGGCATCAGCAAGCTGGACGATCATGATGCGGGCAGCATGCCGCGTGACAAAGTGCGCAAGCTGGACAACAGCATTGGACTGCCGGGCTATTCAAACTACTCTGAGGACACCAAGCATGCTCCGCTGTCCATGTCGAACGGTGGCATTGAGACGACGCCTGATTTGGTGCGCACACTGCTCAAGGAGAGCCTCTGCACAACAAATGGCTCGCTGCTGAAACCTGATGCATTGACCATGCCTGGCCTGAAGCCGCCGGCGGAACTGTTGGAACCGATGCCGCCAACAACCCAACAGCAAATTAAGAAGGAATCGCTGAGTGCACCGACAAATCTCTTGGGCAACAGCTTGGCAGCAGCGCCTGCCATGGAAGTGGATGCTTTGACCAAACTGGGCGAAGGCAAGGATGTAGAGAGTGCTGGAAAGTCAGAGAAGAAGAAGAAGAAGGACAAACACAAACATAAGGAGAAGGACAAGTCGAAGGACAAGCCCGATAAGGAGGAGCGTAAGAAACACAAAAAGGACAAGCAGAAGGAGCGGAGCAGCAAGGACACGTCCATGGACTCACTCAAGCTGGTCATCAAGACCGCCGCCAATCCCAATGGCAGTCTGCAAGTGGGCGCCGCTGCACCGCTCAAACTGAAGATCAGCAAGAACAAGGTGGAGCCCAACAACTATTCTACCGGAGGTGGACTGATGCCAATGTCATCAGCTTCTGGCTTTGGCATTGCTCCGCCGGTGCAGGGGATCACGACTACAGCTGGCCAGCCGATGGGTGTCCCAGGCTATGGCTATACCTCATCGAACAGCACCAACAGCAGCGCCAGCAGTGGAGGCGGTGGCAGCAGCGGCAAAAAGAAGCACAGCGACCGGGATCGGGATAAGGAAAGCAAGAAGAGCAAAACTCAAGACTATGCCAAGTATAATGGAGTCTCTGGCGGCGTGGGTGGTGGCGTCTATGCGCCTCTAGGCGGTGCTGGCGCCGCGTCCAATTCGCAGGCCGCCGTTGCCAGTCTGCTTGGCCTGCCACCCAATATGACGACCGCGTCGTCGAATGCCAATTTGAGCTCCAATGCTGCCGTCTCCTCCGCATCCATGGCGATGGCGCCCGCAGGTGTGTCCACTGGCATTGCCCCGACCGCTCTGCCCATTTACAACAAGAAGTAGTCGTAGTCAAAGTAGTCTATAACCCCTATAACCGCCACCCACATAACTTTATATTCTTTGGAAGCCCAAACACTTTACCCTCGATATAGTTTATATGTAATGTAATACGGTAGAGTTGGCTAAGTTATTAATTGAACTATATTTTAGTTAAGCCCAGAACCCACAACTGAATCGCAAACGCAATCGCAATCGCAATTGCAGCCGGAATCTATTCGGTTCGTTGTGTTCAACACAGAATGATAATCAACAAAATGAAAAACTCGGAAGACAGCAAAACTTCAAGAAAACAAAAATTATAATTATAATAATAATAATAAGAAAAGGAAACGTCTGTACAGCATTAATTAATTTTTAATTATTACACACACACGCATACATACATATAATACACACACACATGTAATTGTAAAAAAAAGAGGTAAATCCTTCGATTGCAAATAAAGCGTGAGCACGGCCGTTTAGTCTATAAGTTAGTAAATCAAATACCCATACATAAGCATAAATACACACACACTTGCACTCACACACATACACAAATATATTTATATATATTTAACTGTTGTATATAGCCACAAGAGAAATACCTTCCGCTTAGCTAAAAACAAATAATAATACGGCCCCAACTAATGCAAATAAAATGCAAGCAAGCAAAAAAAACAGAATATTTGAATCGAACATTTTGTGAGAAATAATTTGTGTAATGTCGAGAGCCGCGCACTTTAATTATAAATTAAAGAGCAAAGCCAAATGATGAAAACCAATTTAGAAATCACAAACAAAAACAGTTATAAGAAAAAAAAAAACTACATAGCATATTAAATAAATACCCACACAGACACACACACCTAAATTATTTGACTTAAATAATAGTATATATATACACATATATATAAAAGAAAAACAAAAGTGAATGCCGTTAAAAATTGTGTGAAATTAATTTTTAGTTAGCCAAGTTTTTCGTTTTTTATTATTATTATTTCTATTTTTTACAACAATGAATTCGTTTAAATTTTAATTTTACAACAAACAAAAAATAGCAGCTAAAGAATAAAAAAAAATTGATAAAATGTCGACATAGCTTTGTGTTGTTTTTAATTTAAAAATTAAATAGCATTATAACGAATATGAATAAAACAAAATACAATTGTTGTGCAACACGAAAGAAACAAAAACAAAAAGCTATGCAAATTATATGAAATTAAGCAAAAAGATTAATGATAAATGATTAAAGAAATACATATATCAAAAACACGATCATAAATTATGTAATTTTCGACTAGAAAACAAATTTAATCAAACGTTGCGCGTTTTTTCAGAAAAACAAAAAAAAAAACTATTCGATTTCTAATTGTAATTGCATTAAGCTAATTAAAAAATCGTAAGAAAGTTAAAGAAGAAGATCGTATAGCTATATACTAACTAAACACACATACAATATATATACATATACATATTCATATTTGGAAAATACGAAAAATGTTGAGTTACAAGAAAATTTCAAAGAAAAACAAAGCAAAAAACATAAATATTGCTAATGCTAAACACACAAAAACAACAACAAAAGCAGCATTAGATATGTTAAAAAAAACACGTAATTCTATTTCTTAGTTTTTCCCCCCCTACTCTACTTTTTAAGTTTTTGTACATAGTTGAAAAACAGAAAAAAAAAAAAAAAAAAAAAAAGGGAAAAATGATATTTCGAAAAAGTTGCCCGGAAATTCGTGAAAAGTTTCATTGGAAGCCTTTCTGCTATGCTTCGAAGATGAATTACTTTCCTTTCGACTTTTACGCACGTTTCGAAGTTTCGAATAAAAATTTCAAAAAACCCAAAAAAAAAAAAAAAAAATTGGAAAAAAAAAAAAAAAACCAAAAAAAAAAAAAAAAAAAAACAAAATACAAAAAGTTTGTTTTGAATATCTTTTTCTCTATTTGTAAGCTATTTCAATTGTTTATGTGCTGCCCAATCCAATCGAGGTAACTCGTGACACGCGTGAAGATAGTCGGGAAGCCGATCTCACAGTCCCTGGCGAGGCCAAAGGAGGTGATTCCGATCAGATAGTTGTTGTTGTCCTCCTTGTAGATCAGCGGGCCACCGGAGTCGCCCTGGCAGGTGGACTTGCCGCTGCTGGTGCTCATGCAGATCATCTTCTCGGAGAGCGAGCCGCCCCAGTAGAGCTTGCAGCGTGCCTGTGGCATCACGGGCATTGCCACAAAGCGCAGCGTGGACGACGTCGAGTTGGCGCTATCGCTGTACCTGCCCCAGCCGGAGGCATAGGCCGTCATCTGCTCATAGCTGGAGTAGCTGCCGTTCGATCCTCTGGGCAGCTCAGCCGCCCTCACGCGATCCGTGAACTCCACCGCCAGAGGCAGCTGCACCAGCGCAATGTCATTGGCCACCGTGCTGACCGTCCAGTTGGCATGCACGATCATGTGCGACTTGTGCACCTGATAGCGCAGCTGCCCTGGCTCCAGCTCATTCGTTATGTTGAGTGCACCCAGGTACGCAGTAGCATTCACTGCCCCATCCAGGCAGTGGGCTGCCGTCAATATCCAGCGATGGCTGATCAAGGTGCCGCCGCACCAGGTGCTGCTGTTGCCAAACGAAACGTTGAAGCCCACCTGGTATGGAAATTGGCCAACTGCAGCGTGCTCTCCGTTCGTAATCCGATTGCTCACCGTAAACAAGTCCACCTGAGCCAGAGAGACTGCTAAGAATATTATTAAAGCAATTAACTTCATCATTCAAACTCAATTAAGTTATTAATAACAATGTCTTTGATTATGCTGTTTTTATAGAAAGCTACGTCGCAATAAGCTCAAGTATCGCATTAACAATCAACCCTTAAAAGTTGAGAGCCTGATAACAATCACACATCTATATAGTCTATATAGACTAATATGTATATCTATATATACAGAGTTTATAGAGTTAATAGACTTTCTATAAATTCATATGTATTCAATTTGCAGCGCCTCTCTATAAACACCAAACGTTGATTAGCAATAGATATGTATATACCTATATCTCTAATCCTCCATATATGCATACGATTAGGGTTATAACTTCCAAAGCATTAGACTCTTAAATATTTTTACATTTTTTAAAGCACTAGTCAGATTGTCATTTATTTTAAGTATGAATTCAAGCCGGAGAAGTTGGAGAAGTCTATTTGTTGACCACGCCACTGTGATCCTCGATCCAGTCCAGGTAGGAGGTGATTCTGGTGAAGACAGCTGGGAAGTTCTTCTCGCAGCCCAGAGACAGACCGAAGGAGGTGGCACCGATCAGATAGCTGATGTCGCCTTCCTTGTGAACCAGCGGACCGCCAGAGTCACCCTGGCAGGTGGACTTGCCGCCCTTGGTGCTCATGCAGATGACGTTGTCGTTGATGAGGGTGAACCAGTATTTTTTGCACCTCTCGGCACTCATGATTGGCTGCTCCACGTAGCGCAGCACGGGCGAGACAGCGTTCGACTTGTCGCTGTCCAGACCCCAGCCAGAGGCGATGGCCAACTCATCAGCATAGGTGGAGTAGCGGCCGTCCTTCTTGGGCAGCGTGACGGCTCTGACGCGATCGTTGAACTCCAGCTCAGCGGGCAGCTTGATCAGGGAGATGTCGTTGACAACCAGATCGGGATCCCAGTGCTCGTGCACAATGATGCCGCTCTTCTCCACATGGATGCGGTGCTGTCCGGGCTCCTCCTCCTTGATCTTGGTGGCGCCCACATAGACGGTCACCGAATCAGCAGAGTCTGTGCAATGGGCAGCGGTCAAGATCCAGCGTTTGGAGATCACGGAGCCACCGCACCAGGCAGCAGAGTCACCAATAGCAATGCTCAATCCCACCTGGTAGGGGAACTGACCCACACGAGCCACATCGCCATTGGTGATGCGACCCTCCATTGGGGCAGCAGCCGCGGTGGCCAAAAGAGCAGTCAATGCGATAAATAGCTTCATCATTCCTATCGGAGCTAACTTCTGATTTGGACAGAGCTGGAGCAGTTCGTTTTATAGCCACGCAATCAATGTCTTGGCACACGCTATATCTTATCACAGTATCTGCTCACACGGGGACTCTGGGTAGTTTTCTGATAAGGGCGCGTGCGCTACGTCTTCCATGATACTCATATATGAATTGTCCTGATATATGTATAGAGCAAAGAATTCTGAATTATCAAATCACTAATTAAACTGATTAGTTTCGATGATTTCAATAGAAACCCATTCAATTAAGTTGAAAGAGTTTTTTGTCTATATTTCATTATTGAATTATCTATTGAATCGTCGAGCCTTCAGCATTCAGGCTGAATGAAGAAGCTCTATATAACCCAATCTCTTATAGAAACAACAATAATAATAATTAAGTTAAAGTGTACTACTACATAGTACCACGTTCCTGTCTCAAGTACACATTCAATAAAATCGCAAAGAAAACACTTCAGACAGTGACGCTCCAATTCAACAGGAAGTGGGGGTGCTGTCTGACTATCTAACCGCAGAATCAAGCGGGTGTCCGTATAATGCTATTGCTAAACGATTTCATTAGTGTTAAAGGAAATTTCCAGTTACTTTTGGAGAAGACTAAGAAAAGTGTCTCATCATGAAGTATGTATTTATAACATTATCTAAACGAGATAGAACGGCAGAATCGAGTGGTTATTTTTTAACTAAAGCTAGACGAATATATTTAGAGCTGATTTGTCGATATTCACGTACTTTTGGACACAGACATTTCGAGAAATGCTGTCCCAATACATATTGATATGATTATCAAACCACAATGCGCTTAATAAGCATGCCATAAGCAGAATAAAGCTAGCGCAGAAAAGTCGCTTTGCCAACATAAGGGTTAAAGCTAAAAGATTTCATACTGACCGAGGTTTCTATAGACTGTGATTTTCCAAAAACTTATTTGATTTTAATGTTGAGTTTTGATAATGTTATAATTGTTGGATGTTTTTTTTTTTTTCTTTTTCGTTGTTAACATTATCAAAAACAAATGGATTTTCGGTGGACACATGTTGATAGATATTTTGAAGCTTTAAAGTACTTGATCATTAAGCTTTGATAGCTCCACCGAATCTTAATCAGCTAAAAACTTTTTAGTCATACTAACTATATAGATTATAATATTATAA